GTATATTTCAGTCAGTATGCACATCTTTCAGACGCAGATTTTTTTTTAAATAAAGTAAAAAACAAAAAAAAGAACCAAATAAATGTAGCAGTTTCCAGAAGTTTTGTAGTCCAGGAGCTGGCTACGAAAGATTTTATCCCTTTACAACACGTGTGACTCCATTTTTCTTTTAAATAATTGGGTACCGTATTTTGATGTACTAAAAATATATAAGCAATTGCGGATCTTGGAATTTATTGTATGTCGAAAAAGTTGTACGTAGAAAGATTACGTCCATCCCAATTTCTGAGGGGGCTAGAAATTCAGAAATGGGTTCTGTATACAATATGGAGCAACTAATTAAAATTATGATGACAAAAACGATGGGGTGTCAATGTGAGTGTGTGTATAAAAAAACACCTAACAATAAATAAAAAAAAAAAAAAAAAATATATATATATATATATATATATGGATGCATGCATGCATACATACACGATGGTGTGTAGGTCTCAATAATTGGAGTATGTATTATACTTTAGTATAGTAGATGGATAAGTATATCGGAACCGATGTGTCATAGTTCGTTTGAGGCCTTCAGTGCCATTGTATATACAGTATTCGAATGGCAGGTTCTACCTCTTCAGATCCTTATTCTTGTGGTGCCTGTGAAAATTTTCAGATTTCGAGCTCTCCATTATTTGATTGTTGAAATACATCCTAATTTGCATACAATAGATGAGTGTAAAATATACGCACACGAGCTACTGTCACGTAAAGACAAGGTACTGGCACTTTAAAAAGCTCTCCATATTATCAAATCTTATGTGACAAATAAATGTGATATGCCCATATTTGGGTATAATATGGCATCATTATGCCCATATATGGGCACATCACACAACTCTGTCACATAAAATTTGATAGTTACTTGTGGACAGTATGTATTGTATACACTATTGTACAATTATATTATCAGTGGTTTATATTTTATAGAATAATTACACATTGCACCTTATAAGAAACACTTCATATATCCATATTTCTTCATTATTGTTATTGTCATCGTCTTCATCGCCACCACCACATTTATTATCACGACCACGTTCATCATCACCATTCACATCGTCTTCGTCATCCTCATCATTATGAGCAAACTTTTCAGTAATACTTTCATTGATAATTAGCGTGTGAATTAATAAATTAATGAGAACATTAAAAAGTGAAACTCCTATACTGGTATTAATAATTTATAAATTTATTGACAGTTCAATATTGTTATGACTTTCATTTTCATTTTAACAATCTGTTCAAAATACACCAACTGCTCCAGTGACTTTTTAACTTCAATGTTTAACTTTTCTCAGAGGGACACTTGTTACAGAGAAGAAATTAAACATGGAGACTTCAATTTTCTTTAGTCTAGCTAGTAGTGGCATATCTAAGGAAAGTGACATGGGCTGCTCACACCCAGGCACATGGTGTAGTTAGGGAGCCTTTTAAATGTTTTCCATTCACCAGCATAAACTGGACTTTACATACTTTTTTGACGCATTGAGACTATTGTATTGTGTACCATATTAATACCCAGTTGATTGTTTTCACAAGCAACTGCAAATAGAATATCAACATTTGATACAAACAATTGAGTGATAAGATATGGATAATAATAATTTACAAGTAAATACCTCTTTAAATTCAAATAAATTAACTATTTCCTGGATACAGTTTTTACATATTTAATTTGTTTTTTGTGTTTTTTTCCTCTTTTTCATTTTTGAAGTTTCCTTCTTTTGTACATTATACACTTCTTTAGCTATTGAACTATCTTCTTTTCTCTTTCTTGGTCTCCCCCTCTTTGGTTTGGGTTTTACTTGGCTAGATCCTTCTTTTTCCTCATCTCCTCTTAGAGTGGGCATCGACAGAACACACTCATTGGTATCAACATAAGGAATATCTATTAAAACAAGAACAAGTAAGTAAACATCACAGCTTCTTTAGTGTGGAAAATCTAAGAAAACATGGATAGGTTTAAATTTTCAATGAAAATGTTATGTTGTAGATTCCTTGTTGCTGTTGTTGCCAGAGTCAATATGGGAAGATGAGAAAGGTTATAACATCACTACAACTTAAATACAATTTGTTTGTTTGTAATATTTATTGCACTCCAATCAACTCCAATTCCTCAAAATACAAAAATAAAATTCAGTGAACAAAATAAAAAAATAGAAAGGAATGCAGAGGATAGCTCTATAAGCCCTAAGGCTTGTTTTCGTAGAGGTCCCTAACAAAAACGACAGAAACAAGAACAGAATACAGAATTAATAATAGACAAACCCATCAAACCTAATCTAGCAAAATACAGCAAGATTCAGAAGAAAATGACAAGATCAAAAGCAAAAAAATTATGGAATACACAAACTACTTAAAAGCATTCTTTTTAACATTATAATTAATAGTTTAATAATTTATTTTGAGTTTTAACAAAATTTGGGGCCTGTTATGCCAAAACAAGAAAATTGACATTAAATTTATTCATATTCTCCACATTATAAGATGATAGGTCATTTAATACTGGAGTCTTACTTGGATGACTTACTATTGCCAAAGTTATGAGTAAAAATATTACAGCTTCTCTGTACTAAAGTAACCAACAATTAGTAACAGTATGCTGGTTTTGGGATGGCAAGTCTCATTTAAGAACAAGCTATTGAATGTAAATAATACTTTACTTATATTTGTTTTAGATTCTTGATTAGCTTGAGCTTCTTTGCTTGTGCATGGTACATCTTCTGTTTTAGTGGTAGACCCAACATCTTGTTTACTAGCATGATGCTGAGGAGACTAAAAAAAAGATTCTTGGGCTAATTTGTAACCAACAGCTAATAAATTTATTAAATATTACATTATATAATTTAACACACTGCTCTGCTGCTCTGCAAACATTTTATATACAACAATTTGACATTATTATCTGTTCTATTAGTGACAAAATTTAAAAAATTGTGTATTCGCTATATCAATAAAGCAGTTTTACAAAAACAAATCCTTTTTTTTTTTTACTCCTGTGTGATTTCTCGGCCCTCCAAAAATGTTTCGCAGCCCAAAATTGGGCCACGGCCCATAGTTTTTGTGTCATCAATTAAATAGATAAATTTTTAGGATTCCTAACAAGGTCACCTATAATAGACCGAAGTATTTACCAAAGATGACATCATAAAAATTTGACCGATTGGGTATTAAAAGTTGCTTACATTGTAAATTCCTATGCTAATGCATCGAGTGAAGTCGAAAGTGGTATCTATTAAATTGTCTAAAATGTAATGAAGTTAGTGTAGAAGATACTTTTTATAACAATGTATACATTTTGAATGATCATAGATTCATGAGATTAAGGTTGACTCAAATTAAATTTTCATTCCGACTAAAAATATTTCGTGAGGCTTTCTAGGAGGCATAGGCCCGTCGCGCATGGGAATCATCCAGAGCTGACTAATGTGATTGCTGTTGATCATAGGTACATAATCAGCTCAAATATTGTCACCAAGTCGTTGCAATTTCTGTATGAAATATTTAAACTATTGGACAAAAAGTAAGGAATTGTAAAATAAGAACGTTATTTGTATGGCTCTCTAGTAGAGGGCTGGGCCTGTGTTCATGCGAGGAGGCTATGCAAGAATGCTCAAGTTTTCCATTTGTATTTTCTCTCCATTTAAAATCTAGTGGGTCAATACGTCTATTAAAGAAATATTTACCAAGGCTTTTAAAATAAAGGTTATTTTAAATTAAACTGTACAAATAAATAAGTTTGAAGAGTTTGAAGACTGTCAAACTTTACTCGAGAGCAGAGGATTATTACTGTGAGAAAAAAATGCCACCTAGCTGTTTGTTTTGATGTTATACACACAATGGCTTTGGTTTGGTGACTAATTTGGTCTATTAAAATTACAATGCAAGGAAAATATATACTGTATACACAAAATAATAAAATTGCTCACCAAAACACCCCCTGCAAATGATTTTGCCTTAATCTTGGCAATCCTGAGGGCTCTTTCATGGGCAGCGGTCATTTGCAATTGCTCTTCATCGTCAGGATCTGATTGCTCGTTGCCATCTTCTGAAGTTTGACCACATGCCAAGGACTGCTGGTCTAAAAACTCTTGAATATTACTGTTAAAGCAAGTTTTAATTTATTATTAATCTACTATTTTGCCAAAAATATATAAATATATTGCCATTCAATGATAATAAAGGAAAAAAAAAAAAAAAAAACAACAGTGGCAGATCTAGGAATTCAAAATAGAGGGGTCCAATGAGAGACTTTCACAGGTAGAGGGTCTAGACCACCACAACCCCAATATGGTGTGGGCTGAGGTAAAAAAATTATGATTATGACACCTCTAGATGGCCAGAAATGGCACTCTCAGACATAAATTAGAATATAAAAGTTTTCTTTTTTCTTCATTTCCTGCACCTTGGATGGATAAATAACTTTCTATTTGACAGTTTAAAAAAAAATCTGTGTCCAGCATTTGTGGCAAGTTGTATACGTTTTTTTAATTTTTTTTTTTTAAATATAATTTCTTTTTCTCCATTCCCTGCCCCCTTGAATCTGCCAATGGATTAATAACTTTCTATTTGACAGTTTTACAAAAATCTATGTCCAACATTGTGTATTTGTGGCAAGTGGTGTACATTTTTTTTATTTTAAATTTTTCACATCAATAAAAACAAAACTCATTTGTTCTCATCTACATTGATGCAGCAAGGCCTTACAGTTACTCTACAGTACATACCTGTTGATGAAAACTGACATTGACTCCTTGACAATTTTTAAAGACTGATCTTCCCTACCCTTTAGTTTTGATTTAAGGTATTCATACTTACTATGAACAACCTCAAGATTCTNAAAAAAAAAAAAAAAAAAAAAAAACACAAGAAAGGGAAATTAAATTTCATTGTAATTTTTCAGATCATGATATATGTGAAAAGGAAGGCAAGAGTGCTAATGGATGGTGGGGGGTTATTTATTGTTGTAAAATAAAGTTTTATTGAAATTGAATTGAATTGAGAGAATATTTGGACAGAGTTTACGAGAGGCCAGTGAAGTGGGAAGGAGAATGGAGAGGTATGGGAAGGGAGAGTCAGAGGTGAGAGCAACAGCATGAAAAGTGGAGAGGGAGGTGGACAGGAATGGGAAACACAAAGGGAATATGAAAGGGAGGAGAGGAGATGATAGCAAAAAATAAAAAAACAAACCTCTAAAGAGTCATTGTCAATATATTCAGCAAGTATGCTGTGAGGCTGGCGCATGTGAGCTGCTGTATCTGGTTCAGATTTACCAAATGTCCTGCGATAAAACATCTATGGTGAAACAAAAATATCAGTAAATTCATATAAAAAAAAAAAGTTTCAAAGGCTGTAAAATGCTCATAGAGAGATATAGTACTAAATATTATTGATATAATATACCAGATTATACATCATTCATGTTTTCATGCCTCCTGTGTACATAATTCAATATACAGACACAAATAAATTTATATCAGTTTCAGTTGCATACAAATACAATTTAGATGGGTGTTTGGATGGGCGAGCCCATAATGAACATATATCAATTTAGGATATTATCTGTCTCTTATACACATCTAGATGTGTATAAGAGACAGGATAGATGACAGATGGGCATATTCTTACACATTTTGGTGTTGCAGTAATCATAAATGCCCTCTCAACTTTCAATTTCAGGAAGACATATTCTGCATCCAAATGCTGCTGTTTGTGGATGTCTTCATGAAGTCCAATGAGTTCCTGCCAGCGATTTAATGACATATGAATCTAAGGGGATAAATAATTAATCATTTTAAAATATGCATACCAGATTATAAAAGTATAAAAGAAAGCATGGACTGTTGTAAAATATTCGGACTACCCAACTTCTTCCTTGATTGAAGGCTAACTTCATATTGGGCTTTGGCCCAAGATGGATGTGGACTACTCATTCTTACTTCTCCCCTAATGTTCCTGTTGCATCATACACAGCCAAGAAGGTGCCATCTAGTCCACAAAAACAGGGACTGTGGATGTCATGTGATGCTCTGCCAATTAAACTGTGGTGCTTATAGGAGTATAAAAGTGTTTGTGGAGGGTGTATGATTTGGAGTAGGAAGGTAGGTGTTAGTTATGAAGTGATTTTCTTTAGAATATTAATTAGCAAATTTCAATGCGGGGGGGGGGGGGTGGTATCACTAGTAGATATACCACTGTGAGCTAAACTGAACTAAGCTTTAAAAATCAAGAATTTGGTGAACAGTCAGATTGGACTAATATTCATTGGTCTTTCTTTAATAATACAGTAATATACTACAGTTTACCTTTATCTTTGGGTTTTGAATCTGCGTGAAGTACAAGCCGTATAAGAGATAGAGGGCACCTATTCGCACTTGAAATGTGAATGGAGGCATTAGGAAATTACTTGCTACTTCAAATGCTTCTTCTGTGAACTATAATGAATACAAAAATATGGTTTTGTCATCATTATCATTATCATTTAATTTCCATTAAACAGTGTCCACAATCAAGCATTTTAAAAGCAAAATCTTAAACACCCCTCCCACCACCCCCCATCCCTCAGTGCTTTGCACATCGCATGGCCCCTACCCGGATTTTTATCTGGATCTGCCCCTGGAAAGTATACTTACATCTCGTTGGTCCACTTGATGCTTCAGCCCACTAAACATAAGCAAACATATTAGAAAAGCTATGTAAGCATTCGATAAGATTCTTATAAAATCTGCCAAATCATTAGAAATTAAATTGTTTCAATAAGTATTGACAACTTATTTAATCCATTTAAAGTCAGGCTCCAGAGGAAAAAAAAATGTTCTGATATGTTGTAGAACTGATTTTCTAAGAGTTACAGAAAATGAGATACAGATTTTTGAATACTTAAAAACTGGGGGAAAAGGTAGAAAAAAGGGTGGTTACGCACCTTTTCCTCAAATTTTTAAAATATTCAAAAATCAGTATCTCATTAACCGTTTCCCAGTTTTTCGTCTGTCCTACAACATATCAAACATCTTTCTTCCTCCGAAACCCGATTTAAATTAGCAACTTACTGTAATGTCTGAATAAAAAACAATTTTCTAGGCCTTTTACCTTTTACACAAATATGACAATAAAATATATGTTATATTATCTTTGTCATACCGGTACATTTCAAAAGGGTGAAAGTAAATAAATACTTACAAATAAACGAAAGAAAAATTCATACTATGCCAGATGTTTGCAAAATCTTCGTACCGAACATTCTCAGTTTTGACAAACTCATTGAGAAGAATTTCACAGTCTGTTTTGATTCCATTCCCGAATCTCCTTTCTCCTCTCATCTTTCAAAAGCAAGCACTGTACAATCATAAAACAAGAGGCAAAACCAACCATCTGAGGCTGGCTCTAAACAATCGGTATGTAAAGAAAATCCAACAGAATATCGAAGTTCAGAAAACTCACAATCTGAAAATGTAGAAGGATTGTGCAAGCTATGCAAACTGTGTAATATATGCACAAACTGTTATAAGCAGATTGAACTTTTTCATTTTATTAATTATAACTAGCATATCAATTTTAGTTATTTTTAATGTTTTCAAACCAATAAAGTTATCCAATAACAGGCAAAATAACAAGACAAGCATAGAGTGGCATAGCAACCACAGGTCTGAGGCTCCTGGCTAGGCTAAGGCCTCTTCAGGGCTCTACTACCCTGGGGGAAAAGCTCCGTCTGCTCTAGCGTATGTATTAAGGATATCTTGATGGATTTTTACACATTAGTGCTCCAAAAGCCCAGATTGGGCAATGTATGGAGACATTAATGCCGAAAAAAATCCCAGCCACGGCCCTCTAAGGTCAGAACAAGCACCTTCTTTTCTACCTTAGTTAGTATTCTTATTTTAGTCTTAACCACCAAGCTACTAACTATTCGACTCTTCAATTTAGGATATTATTAAACAGTGGCACCAACTGGGGTCACGTGGGGAAATTTTCCTCGTTGGATATATATCATGGCATAGGCCCAGGTTGATGAGTTCTGAAAATGGGTCCGATCGTCCGCAATCATTCGTCATGCAAGGAAGAGATCTATGGTCTGTCACCCTCGACAACAAATCGGAAGCTGGGCCTACACAGTGTTGGCTAGCTGACAGGTGGGCTCTATCTAATCTAACGCCACCAACTAAGATACATATTACTATACCTAGGGCCTACACTAAAACCCAACAATGGAATCGTTTACCAAGTTTTTTTAATCTAAATCTCTGTATTAGGAGCAATAAACTAGTTCAGTGCATGTAAGTTGGCTTGGCTAGCATAGAGTAGTACAATAGTAACAGGGAGCAAAGATACTAAAAATACAAGATAGAGTTCTCCACACAAAAAAGTGTTCCACCGTGTTCCACTGAAATGCATGGTGGGAATACGAACAATGGGACGCCACCTACAGCTGGATCTAAAAAAACTTGTGCCAAACTTTCGTTACCAAGTCGTCTCGTATTTTATTATCAATTCTCAATTAAAAAATTGTACACCGCGATGCGCTACGGCGACGTACGGTATTGGAGGGCGTTGCTGTGCAGTAAATTGCAACACATCATACAAACAGGGTCATAATTTATATCGATTTCCAAAGAATAGAGAAAGGTAAAATATTGCACTGACATTAAACAAAAAAATAGCTATATATATTATAAATATATATTAACATTTTGTTTTTTTAAACTTGACATATGAATTAGCCTAGGCCTACTGACTTGCGTAGCTAAGATATTGAAGAAAAATAAATAAATAATTAGACTAGCCTAAAATAATGAAAA